GAATACTGATAGCCTTGTAGAGTAACCAATCAAAGCGCTCATTATTTTATAATTTGACTGCCAGTTAAGATACTTTATTATATATCAAGTGTCAAAGTTTACTTTTCCTAGCATCTTATTGGTCGAGAGTGTACCACGTGAAAGTCACAAAATTTTACTGTTTTGCCGGCAACTGTCCACCAGCGGTCAATAATATGTTGTGGACCGTCAATAAGTACAAAGTCGCAGAAAAACAATCTTCAGTGTCGTGAAAATGTCACATTTACGGACGTTGTATTCCAAAATTGTTATGAAACATTTAATTTCGACTACAAATAGTTAAATTAGTATTCATTGTGTTATTACATTGATTGATTTTAGTGACTATTTGTATTGCCATTTTTCAGTCAATTTATCAAAATCTTTAATAAAAGCACTTCATTTATTTACTTTTTTTGATCTCTTTGACACTTGATATGATAATAAAGCACTTATTTACTGGAAACCTCGGGAAACAGTATGTTTTGCGGTCCCTCGACCGCTGATGTTTCCCTCAGCTTCGCTTCGGGAAACATCAGCGGTCTCGGGACCACAAAACATACTGTTTCCCTCGGTTCCAGTAAATAAGTGTTAAATATAAAATGAAATAGACAGCCGTGCAGTGKGATCTCATTCCCTACAGTTTATTGTTAATTTCCTTTGGTCTTTTTCACTTTTAGACACTAACAACTAGAAACTGTTTAGAATTGAAAATCACTCTACATGTACATACTGTAGKTGACCTGACTTCACTGTTTTCCTGTGTCTGACAACATAGTTGGACGCCAACCACAAGTAATGCTCCGTTATCCTATGGGGTCAGACGGGGTCTGTTCTTTTATGATAATGAGTTCTCGGAACTACCACGTGTTGTGGAATACTCTTTGCAAAGTTTAGACTTACTTAATTACCCTCTTGAAAAATAGCTTTATACTTTTACCCAGTGTGATGAATCGAGATACTGAGGAGTTTATTGACGATCACCGGGTTTACTTCAAAGTAAAAAAGACATGTTTTCCCATCCTAGTAGCAGTTTCTGTGATACTGGCTGTCATCGCGATTACTTTTATTGTACTATACTCGCAAGCTGTCGACAAAAGGGAAACTACTACTATTGTCCCGAAACCAGGAAAGAAGTACAAAATATGTAACGAAGATAGCTGCTTCGCCATTGGGAAATGTAAGTCATTGGTAGCTCGTAATGTAACTGTGGTAGCTCGTAATGTAACTGTAATGTAAAAGTGTAGAGGATAGCCTATTCAAGTACAGGTCAGACATGTAGCATTTGATATAGGGTTTCAATGTGAAACACTTGGGAAACAAATAACAAATTAGTACAAATGCCTTTGTATTTTAAAGGTTGATTAATGCAAATTTATACCGAAGTTATCTAGAAAGTTTAATTGTTACAAATTGTGTGGTTTAAAGTTTGTGTCTGTGATTTGCTTAGTGACCCTAACAGACTTGTTTAAGAAAACCATGCTCTATTTACAATCAGTAGTTTCCGCGTGGTGATAAATTATTTCCAAGATGGGGATTGTTATTTTCATCTTGTAGCTGTTTCGTTTATGCAGGTTTATAAATAGAGCGATTTCTGATAGTGATAAGCGAAATTTTTTATTTGCAAATCACTTGAAAATACAAATATGTCCACGACCCGCGGTTCGCGATTAACTTCTTCTTAAACAATAGAAAAAAAAAGCAAAAATAATAATAAAAATTAAAAAACTTACTCTTCTTTCGAATGGCTTATAGGGCTGTTTTATTTGTCGTATAAGAAAGGTTTACAAGTAACAAATAATACAGGGCAATTTCTTCAAAATTCCTCAAAATCAAAAAGAATAAACGTTGCAAACGAAGCAACAGTCCTTTAGTTTTATCAAACTGCCTTTGAAAGTAAGATTTTCTATATTTTAAGCGCTGGAAGACTGTTTCCCCCCCCCGAAACTTGGGTGGGGGTGTGCCGCTGGGACCTCAAAACCCTG